CCAGCGCCCAAGGTGACAGGGGCTGTGGCACTGGGAGGAAGGAAGCGTCAAGGAGGAAAGATGCCGGTCCTCGATGGGGGCTCCTGGGGAATCCCTGTGAAAGGGGCCCTGTCTCAGCTGCAGGATCCCGAGTGCAGCCGCTCACCGCTCACCGCAGGGACTGCGCCCGCCACCCCCGGGGCCCTGAGGCTGCCCACGGGAGCGGGGGCCAGCGGGGCATCGGGGACTCCTGCGGGACATGTTAGAGCAGCAGGTCCCAGATCCGGCCTCACCTCCGCTCTCTGTGCTCCCACAGGCTGAGCTCGGGAAGCCCCGGGAGCAGAGCTGCAGCCTCCCTGGCATCGACTTCAACTACGGGCTCTACGTCCGTGGGCTGGACGGCGGGGTCCCTGAAGGTGAGAGAGCACATAGGGGGCTGTACAGAGGGGTCCCTGAAGGTGAGAGAGCACATAGGGGGCTGGACAGAGGGGTCCCCGAAGGTGAGAGCATGTCCAGGGTTTGGGTGGAGGGGTCCCCGAAGGTGAGAGAGCGCGTTTGGAGCCGGAGCGCTTGCCCTGGGCCACTGCTGGGAAATGAGCTGGGCCTGGCCTGCAGCCTCGATCTGGGGGATCCCACGGTCTGGGCATGGGGGGCGGGGCGAAGGACCAAGCAGGGAAATAAGAAGGAGTCAGCCTGGGTTTAAGCTGTGAGCCCGGGTGGGTTCAGGACCGACCCTGATTACCCAAAGGACACCCAGGCCCGGCCACCCAGCTGCAGGCAGGGTGCTCACCGCCCGCTGGGATCTCGGGAATCCCCCCTCCCCCCTCCCCCACTCTCCACCCCCCGGGAGCAGCAGGCTGGCAGCAGCAGGCTCCGGGACCGGCAGGCACAGGACCGAGTGGCTGACCTCCCTGCTGACCTCCGGCCGGGACCGGTCTCTCCCTGCCCTCAGCCATCGGACACTGGAACGTGTTTAAGCCGCAGCCCACCCGCCACCAGGAGCTGAACCGGGATTACATCGCCACGAATCGCGGGGCGGTGAAGGCGGGCCTGGTGACCGCCCGGGAGACGCTCCTGTACAAGCAGCTCAACGACTTCCGCGTCAGCAGCAAGGACAACCGGCGCTACCGGAAGGAGCCCACCTTCATCCCTCCAAACATGACCTTCGGGATCCAGGCCCGGTAAGGCTGGCCGCGGGCTCCCTCCCTCACCGAGGTGGGGCGGGCTTGGCAGTGGCTAAATTAGGGACTCAGGTGGGCGCATGACCCTTGGCTCCAGGGAGGGCAGTCAGTGCTCTTCACAAACCTTGGAGGCAGGGGTGGGTCAGAGGCCCGCCGGGGGCCCAGCTCCCAGCCCCGGCAGCACGAGGTTCTGTAGAGCAGATGGGGTTGCATGTCACCAATCTCAATCAAGCTGCCCTGATATGTCTTTAAAGGGAAATTCATTGGCTCACATGGTAGAGGTAGGGCTTCAGGCGCAGCTGGATCTGGTCCCAGCGTTGTCCCCGACTCTCCTTCCTTCCTGGATCCCGTGTCCTCGTCGGGAAAGAGGATGTTACCGTGGTAACCGGGCGTCCCGGGACTCTCGGTCCGTTTCATTTCATCGTCACTGAAACCCGGTGCAGGAGGTGGCAGGGCTGAGGCGGGGAGGGGTTGCTGGACCTTCTCAAGTTCACACAGCTTCCTCACAGCAGGGCTCGGCCTGGGTTCTCTACCTGGGGTGTTTATATTTTAAAACATAACACATTAAAGTGTGCAGACATTAGCGGTCCCCTGGCTCAGAGCCCTTATTGAAAACAGGAAAACAGCAGCTCCGAGAGGTGAAGAGACTTGCCCAAGGCCACAGGCAAGTGGCGGCCAGACAGGAGCCAGCTCTGGAGCCAGGCGGGCGGACTCCCTGTCCAGTGCTCGCTCTCCCGCCCCCTTGGGACTGAGGTGAAGAGTCAACACCCAGCTTCTGGGCCCGGGGCTCTGCTTTCCTACGTGCGACGGCAGAGCTTACGGTTTCTGGGCTCAGAAAGGACATCCATTACCGTCCGCTCTCAACATAAAAGCCTTAAATCGCCGCAAACCCCAGCGGCCACAATCCCAGCGAAGGACGTGATGGAGTGCCGGCCAGATCTCCCGCGATGGTAAATGGGCTTTGCATATGCAAATTGAATGGATTTTAAAATGGTATTTAATGACAATTTTCGTAGCAGACGTTAACATTAATTGCACAAAAATGAAAATGCTGCATTAGGTTGCTGTTAGCAGCAAATATCGCGGCCATAAAGCTTTATCTTTATCAACGGCGGCCCTTTCGGAAGTGACAGGGCCGCTCAGCAAATTGCAAGCAAAAGGGCTTTTATGGAACAAAAATAGCCCCCAAAGCAGGCCCGAATCAGCATCAATTTCACTTTATTTCTCCGTAAATGGAGGTTAAATGGCTGTCGGGAAAGCTTTTACTGAGAGGCCCAACCTGCCCGCACGCCCCTCAGCTGTACAGCAGACGCAGGGCGCAGTTAACAAATCCCACCCCCACCCCCACCCCGTAACGCGGTTATTACTTTAAAGTTACGGGGCCGAGGCCCGTTCTCCAATGATCACCTTTTATAAGCTGCGATTGTGTTTCTTTCTTTACTTTAAAAGCGTTTAAAACCAAACCCGATCACACTCACCTACGCGAGGAGTTGTTGGGGAGACTTGGTCCAATAAATACGTAAAGAAACAAATGAGCACCGTCCACTCACAACTACAGAGATGTGAAAAAATAAAAGTCAGTCCCACCTTAGACTCCACACAGGCCCAGCTCGCAGGAAGCCAGGGATGCCGGGAGCAGGGGGCGGGGCGTGCAGGGTCAGATGCTGACCAGGCTTCTTCCCCACCCCCAATGCCCAGTCCTCCTGCCCTTTATATCGTCTACGATGGACAACATACACGGATGGGAGGGGCCCCACACGCCTCTGCCTGCCCCTCCGCCTCCCAGCACCGATGGGACCCCGGCCTTTGCAGAGAGCCGATCTGGCTCCCAGGCCACACCTGCGGGTCACAGAGGGCCGCTCACGGGGACAGGTGCACTGAACCCACCAGCCTCTGGGCTGAAAGGAAGTGGGGACCCAGCTCATATCTGGAAAAGGGGGCCCAGGTCGGCAGGCCAACCACACAGATGCCTGTTCGGCCCGGGCAGCCACATTTTAGCAGCCAGGAGGTTTCATATCGACACCTGGATTTCCTGGTTCTCTGAAGAAGTCAGAAGCCCCGGCACCTGGGTGGGCACTGCTGCCCGGCCCCACCCAGCTGTCCTCTCACTTTCATCATCGCCTGGGCCGCTGGGCACCGAGCCTGCAGCCACCGGTGCTCCTGGTCATCGCCATCCCTCAGCGACTGCCACCTCTGTCGGTCCTCCGATCGTGTGGGGGCGCCCCTGACGGAAGCAGCCGTGACGGACCTTCCATGCAGCGGGCGTTTTGCACACGTGGTCCCCTCGGGCAGGGGTCACAGGCCAGGCCAGGGAGGGGACACCTGGCTGAGGCTGGGTCCGTGCCGTCGGCCGGCTGCTGGGAGGACCACGCCTCTGGCACCAGGCAGCTGGGCGAAGCCCGGGCACGCTGGCGACCGTGTCCCCGTCAAACCTCAGAGTTCAAGTCGGGGAGGAATTTTCGATGTTCATTCCCAGAGGGTGAGGCCGTAGCCCAGACCGCAAAGCATGCTGGGACCCAAGGTTTATAAACAGACATGTCCGGAGGCCAGGCATGTAGCTATTAAAGAGGCACTTAATTATTGATGCGTTGTAACAAGTGTTTGCAAATGTTCACATGCCCCCGGCACATCTTAATTGTGACTGCTCCTAATTGGCCCAGCGTTGTCCATTATGATGAGTCAGGGATGGGGGGCGGGGAGGGGGGGACAGCGAGAGCTGGGCAGCAGCTGGTGCTCCTGGCAGATTCTGGACGCCCAGGGTTCTGCCACCGCCCTGCCCAGAGCCCCATGCCACACGCAAGGCGAGGATGCTACCAGGGACCCATCCCTCAGTGCCCGACAGGAGCCGGCTGGAAGGTGGTGGCGCCCGCTTTGAACTAAAGTGGCAACTATGTGCTATCGTTACTATTACATGTCAGACAGCGAGCTGAGCACTGGATGCCGCCCGCCTCTCCTTAAATACTCTGAGCAGCCCAGTGAGCACGAGCCTGGAATCTCGCATCCCCTTCTTACAGGAGAAGAGACAGGGGGTCAGAGGGGAGGTCATTTGCCCCTGGCTGCTCTGCATCATGGGGCCTGGTCTGATCCGATCTGATCTGCCTGCCTCGCCCACACAAGGATGGAGGTGACCAGGAGAGACGCTGCCTGCGTTTGTCGGCACTGGAGAGGGGCTGAGGCAGAATATCTGGACGCTGTGGAAAGCCGTCCCGTCGGGGTTTCTCTGAAAGCCTTTAACCACGATCCGGCTCCCAGAAACTCCACACCCTGGGCTCCAGGCCGGCTTCTGCTCACCCGAGCTAGGTACGAGCTCCAGTAGAATACGCAGTTCACCCACCAATGAGTCCAGTCTAGACCCGTCCAGTCCTGGTGCTGGAAGCGTTCAGACCACAGGAAAGTGAGAAACACAGAGAGGGAGGAACTGCTGCCAGCCAGCCGTCCGCGTGCACTCTGCCCGCCCGGCTTTCAGACGCCGACGCCAGGCACTGACGGATGGGAAGGACGAGGGTTCCACGGGCTGTTAAAAAACGCCTGTGCCCGGCGCGTTTGAATCGCTCGGCCAAACTGATTTATTTTACAGGTTGACAGTGGGCCCATCCATCACTCCGGAGCCGCCGGCCAAACTCCAAGGCGCCCCCCAAACGCCTGTAAAATGCTATCCAGCCCCTTCCCCGGCAGCTGTCTCAGGGACTGGGGGATGTTCCTGAATGGGGAGGCCTGCCCCCGGCTGAGTGAACCCGGGCTGACCGCAAGGGGGAGCCTGCGGGACTGGCAGAGACCCCTCACCTCTCCTGACCGCACCCTGCCTGCCTGGCAGCACTGACAGCAACCACCATCAACTAAGACGCTCCCCCCTCCCTGCTAACGGTGGTGGGGCTTACAGTTTTGCAACGTTACATTCGCACAAAAGCAATACGCGTTCGGTAGAAACTGCTTTGAATTTTGATCTTTCCTTGTGACCCTGGGGAGGCAGTGATCACGGGTGAACAGCTGATCTCTGAACAGCCCGGTGAGTGCCTTTCCACGTAAGGTATTTCCACCGGCGGTGGCGTCACACAGCCCCATCCACCGCACGTCGGGAGCATCTGCCGCTCTCTGCTTTACGCCCCGGAGCCCAGGTCCTGGAGGGCAGGGCCACCGCTATGTCACCGGGTTCTCAGACACAGTAGGCACTCAGTAAATGATTGTTGGGGAGAAATAGGGCCCAGGGCCCTTGAAGGACTTGAGGCAGTTGTTGAAAGTGAAGAGATCGTCCCTCTGGGACCCAGCGAGGAGATGGGGAAGCCAGGAGTCCTGTGTATTGCACAGACTCTGCTCTGTTCCCCTATAGCTGCCGTTATGAATCAGCCTGTGGGCCTGGTGAGGCCGCCTCAGAGAATGAATGAATGTGTCCTTTGGCCAAATTAATAGAGGTAGCGAGTCCAGAACAAGGGAGGTGACCTTCCCACTCAATTCTGTTGCTAATTGAGGAAGGGGCCAGGGTCAGTCCATTTGGGGGAGGCCCATAAACAGGAGAGGGGACACACCAGGATGGTGGACGGGATGGGGGGAGGGACCCCACAAGCCAGGCCCTGGGAGAGGGAGCCACTGCTCCTCCCAGCCCGTCCGCCATGGAGCGGCCCAGCAGCGGGATGGCATCTACAATGACAGTCACAGGGATCCACAGCCGGCGCCAGTGAGCACGTGGGGGGCCTGGCTCTCGCAGAGTGACCCAGCCCCTCATCTAACCAGGGGAAACTGAGGCACGGGGAAGCGTGGGGCTCAGGTCCAGGCAGTTCACGCCAGGACCTTCGAACTTAGTGCCCAGAACAGACTCTTACAGGAGGTGGGGGTGTTGGCAGGCCCCCCTGGACCCACACATGCTGCCGGGCCGGGGCCTGGGACACCCCAAACCGGGTCCAATGGGGGCCCCGTCCTCAGAGCCAGCTGCGTCCCTGGGCTGGACCTGGAGGGGGTTGTTAGGAGAAGCCCAGGCAGGGCCATGCCCTGGGGCAGGTGTGGGC